GCACTTGTAAGACGGAGACAACGAATGTGAGTGTAGCGTCCTCTTAAGTACTATATAACAATATATTTTGTAAAAATACTTCATAGAAACCTGACTCACATATGCTAACTGTACGGATGACTAAAATAATATTACTTTGTAATAAACACTATAATATAATCACTATTGCACAAATATATTGAAATACGGAAAATTAATAACAGTGCAATATTTAGCTCTCAACTCCCAAGAAATCTATATGTATTTCGTTGAGTTAAGAACAATGATGCAATCAGAATTTGTCGGACGGACTTATTAGTTTCAAAGTTATACCTTCTGAAGTTATTTTGAGTATTTAGCGTCAACGCAGATTATTCCACGAATCTACATAACTCTATTAAAAGTATGTAATTATTTTGATGCATTTATACATGTACTTATACATTATATACAGACTACAGTTGTATAGTTGTACTGAGAGGTAGTTATGATAACCAACATATTTTTGTAGTAGTTGTGTGGGGGGGGGGGTTAATGTTTCAATCAAAATGTATGAAAAATATCAAAATCATATATAAAACTAAAAAATGTAGTCGATTTAAAATATTCAAGTAAAATAGTCGGTGACAATAATAATATAATATAACAACGGAGCTAAATCGTTACTATAACATGTTTGGATCATATATGGTTGTATTTTATACACTACTACTATATAGTATTATAGATTTACGAATATGTATATGAATACGGAAATCACCAACGGAAAGTCTAATTCCTTCATTAGGAATAGGGTAAATATAGGAGCTCAAGATGCTACAGATGGCTGAGTAGTATAGATTAATGAACCGTCGTAGATTTTGGATAGGATGAGCGATTTGTATATTATAGTGAGGAAGCTATTTTTTTCCGAGTTCCATGTACCGATGATGAGACAGCGTTTTGATGACTTTAATTTTATTCTTATACATTCAGTTTTGAGTTTTTTGAGGGAGGCACCCATGTGAACTTGCTTTGAAAGATTATTCCGGATATGCGATGCTTTCAGTGTATTCGATTTTAGAGTTGTTCAGGTAAAAATGTATAATGCATGTTGGAGTGTGTCGTTTTTTTTTCTGTTATTGAAAATTATGATGCGAGGTGAGAATTTGAGGCCTCTGATTGAAGAATAGTATAATAGGGAATTTAGAGCTGTCTGAAGAAGTGCTACAGTAGTTTTGATGTTGTCTCCTCTACAATATATGCTGCAGTCGTCGGCAAATAGTGTACATTTTATGGGGGAGACTGTATGTTATTAAATATGTCATTAATGGTGACGAGGAACAATCTGACACTTTTTGATACAATAATTATATATTAAAATATTGACGTTTAGTAATAATCGGACTATCTACGTATTATTTCGCTACACCGTCAATCAATCATTCGGGAGAAGTGACGTGGTCGTTTATGAATAACGTCAGTCATCGGAATGACACATATATATATCGTCTCATTACTAAAAACCAATTTTTTGCAATGCCACCTGTTAGTGGCTTTTATTTTAGCTTGACTATCTAAACGTTTCATAATTATTACATTACAGAAACATCGTTCAAAATTAACCAGCGCTCACTGCAAAACTCTGTTAGTTCGTAAGCTTAAAAATAATAATGTTCGTGTTGTAATCGCTTTGAATTGTTTTTACATTTCAACCACCTATGAAACGACACACGTTCAATAAATCTAGGAATCCACCATCCACGGGATCAAAATATTAAATTACGTATCATATTGTACAAAATGATGAATAATTATCATGTAAATTAATGACTAATATTGCATGCTAATGACTTAGACTGAGTTAGTAATTAGTAAAATAATAAAATACGGTGTAGTGATCTGGGCCCTCAGAATTTACGTGACTCTTGCCAAATCGAGAGTGTTCAACGTAAATTCCTAAAATATGCTTCTTTTGTACTGCATATTGACTGCCATCCACACGATTATACACCAGTTCTAGTGAAATTAAATTTGGAGACGTTGAGTGCTAGAAGAACAAACGCTAATTTGGTTTTCTTATAGGAACTCTTGAGTGGGGAAGTTGACGCTCCAGATATGTTAGGGAGGGTTAATTTTAATGTTCCCGGTGCTAATTTGCTCAACTTTTCTCCTTTCTGGGTCCCGTTCTGTGAGACAAATTATTTATATAATGAACCCATTTTGCGTATGATGATATTAGCTAATGAATCCAATTACATCTAAACAACTTCTTGTGCCTAATTATTTTGTATTATATTATTATCTGTTAAATATTATGTAAGTAATGATGTATTATTATTATTAATTATTTATGTTATATAAATGCCAAGGGCCTGTCCCGTTTACTATTATAATAATAAATAAATAAATAAAAACAAATGGTTATTTTTAGTTTTGCTGACATACATAGTATAAACCATAGTATATTACCGTGTAAATGTTTATGAATACACCTATACTTAGCTGGTTGAAATACGTATACACTAATGTGCCGGTATTATGATAGTTTGTAAAATATATTTTTTTTCATTTGAATGTGACCTTTTAAGTAGGTAGTATTCTTCATCAAACAATGAATCATAATATGATAATTTATTGTATTCTGTCTTTTTTAATTTTATTTCTAAAACCAACTTGTGATATTACTTGTTTTATGGTGATATTTAAGTATTAGAGTAGGTACCTACTACCTACATCCACATAAACTTATACCTAGATACGGCCGTGAGTGGCCCAATAAGTTCTGTAAGTAGTGATTCATATTTGTTGAGCTAAGCGATGACATGTATAATTTTACAATGTGTATATTTCTTTTAAATTTTTTAATAAATTTGTTTTCTCTGTCGTCAGTTTTTGAAGCAGTGTAAAGATGCTTAGATTTACAACTTCCGATATATTTTCTAGTTGGACATTGTAAATCTAGTTGGTATTTTTAAAGGGGCAACAGTAAATAAAACCCATTACCTACTTTTCAGATTATTTGGGAAAAAACAACTTACGAAAAACGAGAATTTTTACGCGAAGCCAGTTTCATTTCGGTAGACACTTTTCATGTATTTGGAATCATTGGTAATAGGCAACTATTTACCATACCATCTATACTCTATTCCAAATAAGTCTGGAAAAATTGCGCAGCCTCTGAACAGTAAAATCGCTGTGATTGGGCCTCAGTAGTCAGCCTCGCCGACTGCAGCCAATGAGACTGCACATGCGCAAACCGCGACGCGTTTCCGTCGGGAATGTTTTCAGACTTATTTCGAATAGAGTATATAACCGTGGTACCTGCATAATATCATTAAGACTAGAGAGGAGACTAGAAAGGAGACCAAACTCGTACGGCATCCCGCATGAGAAAAACGTACCGAAATGAGTGACACGATTTAACGGCCACTGGCTACGCCAAGTACGCAAGGGTTGATGCTACTTTAACCCGTGTAGTATAGGAATTATTCATGGTTTTTCGTTTTTTGGAAAATATATGTATTATATACTATATATACGTATATATATATATCTAATATACGTATTTTGAACCATGACTTCATATTGTATAGCTTGTACGATTACGCATTTTTGCATGTGCATATTATGTGTATATTTCATAAAATTATTTTTATTTTTATGTAAACAATTAAATTGTACAATCCGTTAACACTATATTTAGTTATTTTATACCTATCCATATCTTTGTTCACAGCAAATTCGATACACTTTACACATGTGTTTTCTTGAACGATCTATTTATACCGATATAGTATATATGTATCGTTACATATCTACTCAAATTTGTTTCTTAAGAATAACATGTTTATGAAATATACACTTATGCACGTGTATAAATGCGTAATGCTTACGAACTATAAAATGTAAAGACGGTCGTGGTTCAAAATAATGCATATATTTTCAAATAAACGCAAAAAACATGAATAATCCGCGGGTTAAAGTAGCAACCCTATAGCGTACGCAGCGCAGCCTGTGGCGAGTGTGGCAGTGTGACTCATTTCGGGGCGTTATAAGAAGCTGAGTTTGGTCTCCTTATTCTAGTCTTCATGATGTATATAGTTAACATAAATTTAGCCACATTGGTTCGGCTAACTATAAAATAATGTATACAAGGTGGTTTATTTCATCAATTGTCAGCAGTAAACACCCTCGACGAGGTCCGCTCTAATTTTCCAAAAGATTGGTCTATGAGGTCAAGTTAGGGTTAAGAGATATCGAGTGTTCCAAGATAAGACGATCGCCCTGTATATGTGTAGGAATACTAACGAGATTGAGCGCTTGAACTGGATTCTCTGTGGGATTTATGTGGGTATAATATGGGGACGACACCGGGTGGTGGTGAGTAAGACGTATATGCGATGCGGTGGAGGTCGAAACAAAATAAAATGTTACACAAACGATAAAATATATATTATGTTCTACAGGAAATGGCTCGGAGCGACTGTTTTTTTGTTTCCTTTTCGTTGTAAAATATTCAAGAATAGTGCGGGTATATTATAAAACAACGCCCCGAGTTGTACTTCGAATTTTTGTGCCTCCAGAAAAACAATTATTATCATAGCAACCCTAAAAATATCACACGCTATTATTTCGTGTAATGGCCTGGCAGAGTTAGAGATCCTTGGAAGTTCGTTCCAATGACATTTATTCAAGTTTTCAACTCTCTTTATTTTATTCAATAACAATAAAAACATTTGGTAGTTTTTGATTTACTTTTTTCCATGCTAAATTTTGACGAAGTCGTCATGGCTGTATTTCTCGATAAAATTTATAATATGAAAAGCATTGGATAAATAACATCAATATTTTCATTTTATTTTATTTTACGCCATACAATTTTTAACTACCCCTTCCCCTTCCCACTAATACGGTAAACCATATACTGCAGCGCGTCAGTGAACAAGCTCGCCTGTTCGTTTTTAATTCCTGAAAATAAAATACTTACCATTTTGTATATTCGGCGTGGTGTTTGATTCGAAATAATTGTAATTTTTCAGAAGCCAATTGGTGCGCTGGAAAAACGGACTAAATGCTGTTTGTGCTGCAAAAGCAACAGAGTGGTATTGCAGTGCTTACTTGAAAGGTCGGCGTACGTGTGCGGCGAGGCACTGAGGTTAAAAGCCAACATAAAAAATCAAAACGAAAAGGACATCAGGCTGAAAGTCAGATTACTGCAGGTACATTTTTTTTTGTTCAAAATACAGTACTAAATATTATATAATTTACAATAATCGCTGCACATCGCATTTGTGCTCGTACCTATAACACACGAGTAATCAGCGTGTGTAATTTAATGTGTATTAGGTTACCAAACAGTTCGCATGTCCACTTATACTTTTTCTAATAATGGAAAAATACATTATAACAGGCGATTATTGAATTTTCCTTTTGAAAATAAATTACCAACGTATATATGTTAAACTAAATCTGTTAAGTAAAAATTATATTATTATATTGTTCATTACAAATTATTATTATGTTCGATAATAATGTATGGTACTTAAGACCAACACATTTACAGATACTATACAAACGTACTACCTACTACCAGTCTTGTTAAGATTACTTTACAATAGGATTTAAATACTTGGTGCATTGGGTCAAATCGCAGGACTGCTTTAGCACCCTGAATTTTAATGCTAGAACTCCGAATCCTGTGGGCTGTGATTATAACTTATAGTACTACCACCATAATACTTCCATTATAATTACATTTATTAAAAATTCAAAAACAGATTAAAAAAATGTTGGTGCTTAAGCCCTCCTGATATTTTTGGGCTATATTTGCGCCTATGACTTGGTGTAATTTGTATTTGAAATATGTATTCGAATAATGTCTTTCAAACAGCTGGGCCTTACACCCGAATTGACCAGAATTCGTAACACAATTCCATTAAAAACCATTAAAAAAATTCTGTAATTGACTCAATAATTTCAGATGTCGCATACCCATTATATTGTCAAGTTAAACTTCAGCGAGGTAGATATGAATTTTAGGTATTGTGTCATCTAAGTATTTAATGAAATATTAAAAATTCTTAGAAGCATTATAAGTTAAAGATTATTTTAAGACGAATTTTTTATATTGTAATAAGTACCTATGTACCCAAGTAATCCTACTATATAAAACAGAGACCCGTGTGGCGTTCCTCTGGCGAGTAAGTATATAAAACAAAAATTATATTGTTTGTTGAAATACCTACGACGGTAAAAATAAAAAAGTATTTAGTATTCTGGAATAAAATACAGAGAAAAAGTATTTTAACAAAACGAATACTTATAGATATCCCTAAGTTTAGTAAATTGTACTATAAAAGTTAGGTAGGTAGGTACACCAAATTTTGATATATTTTTGTAATATCTTGTTGAACAATATATCATAACGAATGTCAAAACTAGATTTCTAAGAATTCTAATCGAAAAGTATTCGTTATTTAAATGTTGGTAGGCATCTGTATGCATCACATTTTTACATTAATATTATTATATTTCATTTCATTAGAACGATTGAAATTTCATCGATTCGTTTTTATTTACTACTATCTATATTATGCTAAACAATAATACAATGTTATATAAACTAAAATATTATAGACACAGCTGTAGATAGATTACACTATATTATATTAATCAATAGATCGTCTTTGCTACAGTATTGGAAACTCGTTTTTAATTTATTTATGTATATCACTATATAAGAGACGAGAACTAAATTGATTAAAAAGAGCTACAATACATATTAAACTTGATCCGAATGAAAAAAATATAACTGAATTTAAACAAGTGATATACATGTGGTGAATCTGCAACAGTACTATGTGTATTATAGAACTCTACCTATATATAATAGGACACATACGAGTATAAAATAATATATTATATTGTATGGAAATCCAAAAACAAATTAATTTGGTTCAAAATTTTAAATTAAGTTATACGCTACGTCGTTTTAAATTGGTCGATATACCTATACCGGTACCATACTAAATTAAATATCAAATACATTATTATACAGATGTATAATATCGACTATCGTTCGTATTATATACATTATACACACACACACACAACGTAATTTATACCTCCCATCGGACACATAGAATTCGTTCATTATTCACTCAGATTAATCGTTGGCAACCTAAATTCATCAAAATGTAAAGGACGTGTCATATTAAGTATTTCCCCAGTGTGGGCCGAATGCAATTTGACTAACACCGGAATTACGACATTATTTGTTTGTTTAAATATTCAGCTTACATATTACAGGTAACATAAATCTGATAAATCAATGCCAATAATTAGCTCCGTTACCCCAGCACTGCCATATTTGAAATTGAAATTCAGACTTATCCAGTATTATGTACTTTATTTTGTACAATTTTGTACAACCAAAATTAAATTTTGTACACCTCCCCGAACCCGAGAAAACGCCATTTTACCACGTCCGTGCTGCGGTAACGTTACCCCAGCACTGCCTCTAACGAATTTTGAACAAATTCAATTTTCAACCATACAGTATTATGTACTTTATTTTGTACAATTTTGTACAACCAAAATTAAATTTTGTACACCTCCCCGAACCCGAGAAAACGCCATTTTACCACGTCCGTGCTGCGGTAACGTTACCCCAGCACTGCCTCTAACGAATTTTGAACAAATTCAATTTTCAACCATACAGTATTATGTACTTTATTTTGTACAATTTTGTACAACCAAAATTAAATTTTGTACACCTCCCCGAACCCGAGAAAACGCCATTTTACCACGTCCGTGCTGCGGTAACGTTACCCCAGCACTGCTTCTAACTAATTTTGAACAAATTCAATTTTCAACCATACAGTATTATGTACTTTATTTTGTACAATTTTGTACAACCAAAATTAAATTTTGTACACCTCCCCGAACCCGAGAAAACGTGACCTATATTAGTGGATATTTTAACGAATATACTGGGAGTAGATTGATTATTTATTACGTTTAATTTTGCTATTTATTTATGACGTATATCATTTCTTTTGACAAATAATTATTGAGAATGGAAAACCCATGTAACAATTCACCGTAGCCCATAGGTAGTAGGTACCTAGAATAATACAATGCGAGAAAGCAATGCATTCCAAGCGGTCCGCCGGCCCGCGATAATACGACATGTTTTTCATGCTTTCATCTGGTCGTCCAGTCGTTCCGGCAATTATCCACAAATTGATTGTTTTTCATTTTATGTTAGTCCTGGTTCCTACCATCTATTAGCTAATAAGTTAAATGATTATTTCACTTTAAACAGTTTAAACGTACAACCCCTAAGTTCAATGTAATACGTCATACGATAAGGTAATACGGCCACAGGACGACTTTCGTCTTTCGGTAAGTATATTATAATTTAAAATCTAAAATTGTAGACTTGGACTTAACTAAATACAGTAAGTACCTGTTGGCTGTTTTTAATAATTTTAATATTGACATTACAAGATTTACAAAATACAATAATACTAAATTAAATATACATACCTACTTGCATAATATATAATACGTATATTACCATTTAACATTGGTTATAAACACTATTCAAAATAGCAGTTTTACTATCAATCGTATTACGTATACGTATTGATGTAAAATTATTAATATTCTGTGAATTTCTGTGAATATTCAATATAATAACATTTTTAATAAATTATCATTTATTAATTAATATAATATTTAATATTTTGGATTATTATACATTTATACCTAACTTTCTTTTTAAATTCATTTTTACAAAATTGAATATATATTATTTTAATCTGTGGTTTAGGAATAAAATTAACTTAACGTGACGATAAAATAAATTAACTCATAAGTTACTAAATAACATGGAAAAAATGTAACTCGTTATTTAAGTTAGTTAAAAGTAACTTATTCAGACTTATTCAGTATTATGTACTTTATTTTGTACAATTTTGTACAACCAAAATTAAATTTTGTACACTTCCCCGAACCCGAGAAAACGCCATTTTACCACGTCCGTGCTGCGGTAACGTTACCCCAGCACTGCTTCTAACGAATTATGAACAAATTCAATTTTCAACGATACAGTATTATGTACTTTATTTTGTACAATTTTGTACAGCCAAAATTAAATTTTGTACACCTCCCCGAACCCGAGAAAACGCCATTTTACCACGTCCGTGCTGCGGTAACGTTACCCCAGCACTGCTTCTAACGAATTTTGAACAAATTCAATTTTCAACGATACAGTATTATGTACTTTATTTTGTACAATTTTGTACAACCAAAATTAAATTTTGTACACCTCCCCGAACCCGAGAAAACGCCATTTTACCATGTCTGTACTACGATAAAGTAAGTAGGTATTGCTGTAGGTAAAATAATTATTCACTGCAATAACCAATATATTCACATTTAGCTTAGAAAATGTGTACAATGGTTATTACTTATTAATGTTATTAATACATTTTACACTTTTAGAAAATAAATGTTTATAATTTGTTTTCGTTGCTTTTGAATAATATGGTAAATTTATAAATATAAAAATTGTATTATTGATATTTTTAAAGTGTATATTATTTTAAAACTTTTTTAATTGGTTTGGGCTGAGTAATACTGTGTTCTAGGCACGATTTAAGATATACCTTATATATATATATACCTAACCGTATATCTTAAATCGTGGTTCTAGGTCGTCGTAAACTTCCCAATAGTTATTTGATCTCGGAGGAATTGGTGATTTTTGATAGGTACCTCTCACCTACTTAATAGTAATAATCATTTTATGAAATTATTAGTTTTGAAACATTCCTCAATCTTTATTATACACTTCTTAATCAATGAACATATTTTGATCATGTCTAAATGTCTTTGGTATTTATAGATTATTAAGAACAGCTTATTATTGAAATACAGTTTATTATCATCATATGAAAATCATATATTGGGAAGACAGATTAACACTGGGAGCGCTGTCGACGCCTATCGTACTGATGGTTAGGCAGGTTCCCCCCTACGTGGAGTCCTGAAATTGTATGTATTTTCCCGACATTTCACATATATTTTGCTTTAAGTGAAGTGTATTTGAATGTATTTGATAATATTAGTAGGAATTGTACTTACCAACGTATACAGTTAGCTATAAAAGCGTATAAAGTTTCGATACCAACATTAATTTATTATAAACAGTAAAATAACTAATAAAAAACTATATCTATACATCTTGAATTGGAAGTTACAAATTGTTTCCACCAGAGCGCGTTTTGTTAATCTGTTTTCCCAATAGAACATAATATTAATATATGTTTATTTTTATACCAGTTGTATATAACTGTATAGTATTATATTTGTGATTTATACCGCACATCATGATTTTTATAAAAACTATTTAT